AGTTTGGGGTGCCCCTGTGCAGGTCTTCAGACCAGACCCCAGCTGACTGAACTGCCCAGCGCTTTTCTTCCATGGCCCTGTTCTGGGTGCTCTTGGACAACGGGCTACCTGCAAGCTGGCAGGAGTTCAGACAAGAGCCATTCAAACTAGAAAGTGGCCAAAAGACATAAATTTATCAGAAAAGCTCATTTGCATTAAATATATAGAAGATGTACAACTTGGCTAAGATGCATCTAAACCAGCAGAAGCATTAGGTCTTTTCTTTACATACATAGGTCCACTTTACATACACATATCACTCTCCCTCACCTTGCCCAGGTTTGCTGGAGAGTCCACCAGAAGCACTGGCTTCTTCTAGACCCACCAGTGCTGTGGATCCCATTAGGGTATCTTTTTTGACAGCTCAAGAAACTTTAATTAGGTCTCTCAGTTTGGGGTTATTCAAGATGGCGTTAGAGAAAAAACTGAGCAAACAGCTCAACCATAAAAAGCTAGAGGAATTCTGGAATTCCTGGTCTTTCAGACACTGCTCCAGTACCACTGATGTATCTGGAAACAGAGAGCTGAGATCCCAGGAAAGAAGCCCAGATGGTGATTTATTAATTTTAAAACAGCAAAGAATAATAAATGGACCCAAAGTGCCGCTGCCTCTGCTTGTCTACGTAGCTGCAAACAACCAGTACATTTACTGCAGCCAACACCTCATAAAATAAGACAAATGAAGGCAAATCACTTCTCTGTGCTGCTACCTCAGAAGCAGTGTTCCACCAACACCAATACAATGCAAGGGAACACCCCTCCTCTTCCCTCATTATCCTGACAAAACGTTGAACCAGCCCAAAGTGAAAACATGATAAAGCAGCAACAGCAAAATTCAGTGGCCTTTACTGAAGCTGTTTATCATCAGGGCAGTTGACCCAGGGCCTTGGCATCTTCAGGATGATGCACCAGCCTCTTCTGCCATCGCAGTGCAACATTGTGCCATGAATCAAACTGTCCTTCTCATGGCACAGAGGAGCCTGTTCATCCAAACTACCTAATCATGTTATTTATTTTATTATTTATCAATAATACAATTGTTTGCTTTCCATAAATTGAAGAGCGACATATTTTTCATTTAGCAGACATCCCAACCTAACCCTATCCCAGGACTTTATTACTTTCAGATTTCTGCCTCATTTTATGATTTCCTGCAGTCTTACTCTGATGGCAAAATTAGTTCATCCAGTATCAAGTATGAGAAGAAGAGAATTAGACAAAGCCAATGGACATCTTCTAACTCCAGCATTTTCCACCAAGTGATATGCCCTTTGCTAAAGTTACTAATCTAACTGCTTATCACACATCAAAACCACTTTATATCAGGGAGGAAAGAGAGAATAAAGACACAGATGTGAAAGACCCAGCAAGATTTGTTTAGAATTAGTTGATGTCTCTCTGCCCTGGCAGTGAGGGAATGGGCAGCCCTTTTTCAGCTGGTCCTTTAGAAAGAGCCTGAGAGTCCTCTGTTTTTTCCTGACTCTGGCCTTTTCCAAGAGGGACCTTAAGTTTATGCTCTGTGAAAGAGCTTAATGGTTACTAAGTAAGAAGATTAGCTCTAAAAAGTGTATTAAGAAGGCAAAGAGTATGAGAAAACAAAAAAATCCAAGATCAAAGTAAATCCCAAGTAAGCATAAACCCATCCCTTCCCAAGGGTACAGGAACCAACCTCATAACGCTTAATAGAGGTAAATCTGAGGACTACACTGGCCCTCAGCGCTGCCTGTCTGTCTTCTAACTCATCTCTGCGACAGGCGAGAAAGCCACTGAGCTGAAGGGGACATCTGAGCTGGGTCAGACCCTGTGGAGTGAAGCAAAGCCTGGCTCCTCATTACCCAGAGGTTTCAGTCACAGCAAAGCTGAAGGCTCTTCTCTGCTCAAGATCTGCTCCTCGTGATCGCTTACTGCTCCTCTGTGCCCGGAGGAGGCCAAGCCAATGGCCACCACCTCCATTGTGCCTTCAAAGAGCGGCATCTTTCCCGATTTCTCTGTAGGGATACCTCAGATCTTCAGGGACAACCTCTGCACATCCAGTGCTCTCCAGTACAGTCCAGAGCCACAACCTTGGCTAGATCTTGAGCAATTTTAACCTCTCTGAACCCTGCTGTGACAGAAGCACCCAGCTCACCCAGGTGCTGCCATGGCACAGATGTATGAAAGCATAAATACATCTGTCCTAGCTTAGGCCTCTTCATGGAGTTGTCTATGTTAGCAGGGCTTCTTCTGCAGCTAAGGAGGCAACTGTCCAAGAAGCAACCAGCCCACCTGAAACTGGAACTAACTTTTCAATTCCACCTCTCCACAGGGACTGAAAAAAGCTGAAGAGACCAGGCTTGACAACAGGAACCTCAAAGAAGTGCCTGTGTTTGGAGGGATCAATCTGGACATTTGACTTTGTAGCTGAGGTCCCAGATGCTTACTGCCTCATTACTGGAGTACCTAAATCAACCCACCACAACCCAAGCCACCTGAAAGCGGCCTGGCCCAGTTGACCATGCTCAAGCACTGATGCCAACAACAGGCCAGCTCCAAGAGTAGAGCGAAATTGCCAAGTGTATTTGGTAAGATGCCAGCACATGCCACTCTTCTGCAGAGAGCCTCCCCCTCCTGCAGTGTCCTCTTCTGACCTTCCAGGCTTGTTTTGTTGCCTCTAGCCTCAAAAGCTATGCTTGGAAACCACCAATTGTTGCAAACATGGAATTAAATGGAAAAAAATCAGTAGTCACTAGCAATGAGGCAACTGCAGTATGCCAAGAGATCTGCTCCTGATTTGGCTTCACAAGGAACAATCCCAAAGGCAGAATTATCAGTCATACGACTGGAGTCACCAGTTTTCTCCTTGGACCTTGCGACATCAAGAGGAAAGGAGGAAAGAGGCCTCACGTGGATGCCCAGGACCTGCCTGCTTTTCTAAAGGGAACTGCTGCTGAGCAGTGACAGAGCACATCAAGATGGAGAAAGTTAAATGTCACTGGGGTTGGAGGCTGGCAGTTGGGTAAGAAGACTTTTCTAGGTAGGCTGGAGGTACTGAAGACACATCTGCTTCCAAATGTTACAGCTCTGGCCACCAGCACAGTTCCACGAAGAGAAAGAGAGAGAAACAAAAAGAAATAACAGGGTAAAATCTTCTGAGAAGCACACTTCATACTTTGAGAGAGCATCCAGAACTTCTGCTTTAATTTTACTTAGATACCCTTCTTCTCAGTGAGAACCTACTGAAACACAGACCAAGGACAAAACTTGATCAAGACAGGAGTTTCAGTCAATTTGTAATGTAAATTGAGATCTACAGTGATTTCTCAGGCCAGCTTCAGAACGTGCACAGCACAAGGGTTCCATTGTGCAAAGTTCATCAGCAGGACACGGGCTAATTAACTAAGCAGCTTTTTGGAATGAGTTCATTGTCAAGTAATGACTTTCACTACAAACAGTCAAGCATTATCTACACTTAAAGTTAAAAACTTTGGAGCGCGCTTCCAAACTGGGTTTAATAACATATTTCACTATTAGCACTACCAAAACATCTCTTTCTATACCAAATTCTACACAAAAGTTCTATTATCTGTACGTGTCCAGAGACATTTCAGCAGGAGGAGTAGCTGAGCCTGTCTGCACTACTGAGATCTACAAAGCCTCCTCCAATGTTCAGCTCTAGTTTCCTGCTAGTCCATCTGGAAGACCCCAATTACAACATGACTAAAAACAAAAAACACAGCAATCTTTCCAATGAAAAAAAAAAGCCATTTTGCTATCCTTTTTCCCCAGGTGTGGCTGCATATATTAAAGGAAACAGGTATTTTGCAAACCAACCAATACAGGTGTACGTAGCAACTCTGAATACTGTGAGATCAATGCAAAACACAGTACCCCCACCTCTTTCTTTGAGTCAACTTAATGATACAAATAGATATATATTTATTCTTCAAATTTTTAATTACTCTGAACCCACATTTCTACACTGACTGTGCTGCTGTAGTCTGTTTAAGGCAGAGCTGCACATACAGAAGACCACAACCACCCATCATTTGAAGGAATAGAGTCATTCTCAGCTAGCCAGCACTCCTGCTTTACCCAAATAATTTTCCAAAGTAACTCTCATTTGCATTCAGGATAACCATGGGGATAAGAGAATGCCGAAAGACACAGGAGGGATAAAAAAAGATTCTCCGAAAGAAACAGCAAGGCTCTGAGAATAACCCACTTTTTGAAGCAAGACAAAGGTTTTTTGAAATTTGCACAGAGACCTTATTCAGATGCCAGTTTTCTAAGAGTTGAAATAAAGCCACTCTTACCCCTCACAGACTCTTCAGCTCTCTGAACGGATGAGAACACCCACAAAGACAGTCCGTAGGATATACCCCAGACATCACCCTAGTCTAAGAAATTGGTCAGACGTGTGGAGACTTGGCACTGAAGGCAAATTTTATTACTCTGGAACTGTTCTTCCACACTTACCTCCCAGCACCGTTGCCCTTCTGAAGGGATGCACAGTTGCACAGAGTGAGGCAGCATCTTCCACTCCACCAGCTGCTGTTGCAGAGACACATTGCCCTGAATGCTCCTGATCTACCCCACAGCCCTTGTGAATGCAAGCCCTGGAGCACTGCAGGACCTCAGCTCCTCGCTGTAACCCCTAAGGTTCCTCCTCTCAGCAG